TGAAAAAATTTTGATCTTGAGTCAGTGTATGATAGCACATGGCTGTACTCATAGCACTCAGGAGACTGAGGTAGGAGGATTAGAAGTTGAAGGCTATCCTAGGCTACATATCAAGACCTTTTTTTTTTTTTCCCCTTTCTTGTCTCTTGTTTTTATTACCCCCCCTTTTTTTTAACAAACATTTACTTTAAAGAGAGTATAGCAATAATTGGTATGACTTTAGAAGCAGTACACACTTAGAAGATCAAAATTACAGGTATTTCAAGTGTGGTTTTAGTATTACACATTTCTATCCTCAAAATAGTTGCTTAGTTCACAGATATCAGCACAGAATTAGTCAGGGTGAGTGTTCTACCCATTAACTGCTATTTTCAAAAACCTGATGAAGATTTATATGACCATTGCCTTACCATCTTGTTTATATAAATGTATGGTTTTGCCCCTGCCATATTTCCTAACTTTTCTCTTTCTCTCTCTTTGTTGTTTAATCCTTAAATTCTTGCTTTCCATTTAACTGTGTTATACCTTTCAATTTTTATTTCTTATGAGTTCTTACACTAGGGATCAAGACCTTATCTTTAAAAAAAAGCTTGTTCCTCATTCCATAGACTGAGAAGATTAGTTAAAAGATTTGAACTAGAGAGATGGCTTAATATTACTTTACAAATAATACTCAGGAATCTAAGGATGAATTAGATTGTAGGTAGGGAGGCTGGCTTTTATGGGAGCTTAAATAAGCTAAAGACAATGCTAAAATATAAAAACAGCCAGTTCAAGAGGTGCTTTAGGGGATTTTAACTACAGTGCCTTCTCTCTGTTGCTTTAGAATTGCCCAGGTCTCCCATCATTAACATGTCTTCATTACTCCAATGTCACTTCACTTGGATCCTCTTCCTGGAGTGCTTGTCCCATGACAGTCACTCTGTCCAGTACTAGTGTAGTAATTTTCTCTTGCTCTGTAATAAATTACCCCAAAACATAGTGACCTAAAAGTTATATGTTATCAGTTTCTGTGGGTTAAGAGTTTGGTCAAGAGGCCAGCAAGATAGCTTAGTGGACTAGCACCTGCTTTGGCAAGTGCAGGGACCGGGGTTTAATCCCCTGTCCGACATGCTGTGCTGGCCCCACCTCTGGGGCATGCTGAGCTGGTGGAAACTGGGCGTGGTGGTGCATACCTGTAATCCCAGCACTGGGGAGGCTGAAAAGAGGAGGTTCACTATGAGTCTAAGCTGAGTAATGAGACCCTGAACCAAATACATAAAGTGGAAAAAAAAAAAAAAAAGTTCAGTCAGTCAAAGTGCAGCAGGATGGCACTTACATGTGTTTTTGTCTTACCTTTTGTGGACTAAAACTTAAAAGAACAGGTGCAAAAAATAAATCCTCTTTTGCAACCCAGAACTCATTGTTTGGTATGAGTTTTGATACATTAAAGAAGGAATATTACTGCTAGTTGCAGTGGTTACAGATCTGTGATCTTGAGAATAAGGTTTGGACTGTATAGTGAGATTGTCTCAAAAAAGAAAAGAAAAATAAAAAATTAATGATTACCTATGCAAAAATAAATAAAAAAGTACAGCAGGGATGGCTGGTTTTTTTCTAAGGTGCCTGGGTCTTGACCAGAAGATGTGAAGGCAGAGCGTGGAGTCATCACTTACATGCCTGTTGGCAATTAATGCAGACTGTTGCTGGTATGCCTGTAGGCCATGTGGCCCAGGTTTCCTTAAAACATGGTTCCAAATGCCCCAATAGAAGGAGCCAAGTACAAGCCATGTTTCATTTTATAATGTAGCCTCGAAAGTCATACAACATGACTTCTGCTATATTTGGATGATTTAAGAAATTACAGAAGTTCAGACAAAGAGCTTATAAGAAGAGCAAGAGGGGCCCAGCGTGTTACAATCAGCTATGTGGATCACAATTCCAAGACTCATTAGGGCAACTTAGCAAGACGCTGTCTCAAAATAAAAAGGCTTGGGATATAGCTCAGAAGTAGAATACTTGCCTAGTGTATGTAGGGTCATGGGTTTAATACCAAGTACTGAGGTGTGTGGATGGAGTGGTGTTATATTGGTATGTTATTCTTTAGAAAATGTGTGTAGTCTTATCACAACTATGTTTAAACTTATCCACAACACTTAAAGTCCCTGTCTTAGTAGATTTAAGAATCTTAGCAAGCTCTCTAAAATTCAGCTTCCATTTCTTTGTCCCTACTTCAAGAGGAATATATAAATATCCTCTTCACTACTTGGTCTCATTGTCTATGATTCTGGTTTGTTTTGCTTTGCTTTGCTTTTTTAATCTATCTAGGATTTGTTGTGATTTACTTGAGCCATGCAAAATTGTGTCAAGTCTGAACCTATGCAGTCTATGATAGTGGCATCAAGTATAGTGACAGATCTGTGTTCATATTCTTTCCAGAACTTGCAGTGGTTTTGCTCTGTTGAAGAGGTGCAGTAATTTTTCTGTTTGGATGATTCAGCATGTGTCTTCAGGTGTCATTCATACTACAAAAGGCAGACTGAGTGATGAGTCATGGTTGATGATGAATAAAATGAAGTGTTAGACCTGAAAAGAAAGTATGTGTCTCTCAAAAATTAAAATGTTCAGTGCACACAGAAGTAGAATGAATTGGCGAAAGTTCGATATGGCAAGTGATGACTCTTAAGAAGTGGAAGAAATAATTTGTTCATTGCTTCTCCCAGTTGGCTGATGTTGTTAGTAAGTGTAGAAACCCTTCCTGGAATTTGCTTCATGGGAATTGGTAGAAAAGATGCAAAAGAAACAAACAGAATACAGATACACTAAAAGCCTTAAATCATTTAAACAGAATTAGAATTTAGTTGTGTTCCCTTTAAAAGCTTATGCTCAGCAGCATAAGTACCTGCCTGGCAAATGCAAGGTTCTGAGTTTGATCCCTGGTACCACAAAAAAAAAAAAAAGCATATGGCTGTTTCTCAGCCAGATCATCTGAGAAGCCATGATTGTCTTTAATACACTGTTAGCAAAAAGGCATTCTGTGAAAGGAGACATCCAAAGCTTGTGGTGGAAGTTACATAGACCCAGAGAGTGCATTGGCTGGATTTACAAGCTAGAACTACAGAGGACAGGACTTCCTCACGACCTCACCCTGAGAGAATCACATGGAGAATGTCTATAGGAGAATTACTGGAGAAGCAAACGTGCTGTCTGCTCCTGTCTTCCAGAGGCCACATGCTGATCAGTGGGGCTTTGAGAAGATGTGGGACCATGGGGACACTATAGCTGACTTGCTTTTAGGAGGTGGGTCATAGTTGGGAGAGGCAGGTTATTGTGGAAGTGACTTGGAAGGGTTTATCTCCTTTTTTAGCTCCTCCCTTCTCCCTCTCTCTGTCTCTGTCCTTCCTGGCCCTTACGATGTGAACAGTTTTTTTCCTGCAGTGGCTTCTGCTATAGCACTTCTGTCTTCTAACTGGCTGAGTGTGCATTAAACTATGAACCAATATAAACCTGTCCTCCTCTAAGTTGTGTCAGGTATAATGGCTCAGCAATGAACAAAGTGACTAAGACATCTCCTTTTGATGATGAAAGTGACAGTGTGTCAAAGACTGAAATTATGTAACATAGACATCTGACTTACTAGATTTTATAGTTGAAGCAAGCAACAGGGACATAAGATCTTTTGATCTACCTGTTGATGCCAGCCTTTGAGGTAGGGACTGCCAGAGGAGGATATTTGTGTTGTGGGTGGGATCCTTTCAGATCTTTATGAATTATTGAAATATTCAAACTGTGAGATATCTAAACATTTATATTTAGATAGTCTCAAAGCCTATAAGTATCTTAGACTTGTCCCCTTTTTTACTTCATTTTTTTAAAAAATTATTTATTTGTGGGCTGGTGAGATGGCTCAGTGGTCTAAAGCACCTACTTAGAACAAGCTTGGCAAAGAGCAGGAACCGCGGTTCAATCCCCCAGCACCGCATGCCAGCCAGCCCCGCCCCCTGGTGGGCTGAGCTGGCCACACACACACACAAATAAATAAATTTAAAAAAAAAATTATTTATTTGTGTGTATGTGTGTGTGTGGCCAGCTCAGCCCACCAGGGGGCGGCCCTGGCTGGCATGCAGTGCTGGGAGATGGAACTGTGGTCCCTGTGCTTTGCCAAGCTTGTTCTAAGTAGGTGCTTTAGACCACTGAACCATCTCACCAGCCCCCTTTACTTCATTTTTATAGCCTGAGTTCAGGACTATGTTCTTAGCTACTTAGTGTAATAATCATCCACATTAGTCTGCCTTCTAGTCTACCCTCTACTATACTCTGATTTATCTTTTAATAACATACTTCTTCAGTTGGTTCTCTGAGGGCCAAAGAATTCAAATGTCCTGCATTTGTATGAGGCCAAGTACATTACCATAATATTTTATATATGTTGGAATCTAGTAAGATAGTTGAATAGCATTACAGTATTTCATCCAGTATTGTATCAGATAATAAAAGGCTGGGGATTTTTTATTTTGTTTTTTTAAGGAAACTTACATATTTAGTACATGAAGCTTTTTTTTTTGTATTTAGTACAGGGTCTTACTATATAGATCAGACTTGTAGTGATCCTCTTGTTTTCAGCCTCCCAAGCACTGGGATTACAGGCACATGCCACCATGCTCAGTCTAGTACATGAAACTTTTTAAGCTTTGGGAGTAGATTTGACTATATGAAAAGGGAAGGAAATAAGGAGACTGTTTGGAAATACCACCATTCTTGGGCTGAATAGAGGACTAGCAGAAGGTCTGAGAAATGGAAAGCTAGTGCAGATCGAGTAGCTGATCACACCAGCAGTGAACTCTGAAACTTTGGTGATAGGATGGGGCCAAGAAAGGGTCCTGAATGTGTCTAGCATTTGCAACAAAGTATCTGATCATGATGGTAATTACTGATTATTGTCAGTTATTCCTGCTGTTGTCTTTTATGATTTATATTGAGCTGGTTGAATTTCTGAGATTTCCTGTTTTTTTCTGTTTTAGATCTGTGACTTTGGCTTGGCCCGTGTTGCAGATCCAGATCATGATCACACAGGGTTCCTGACAGAGTATGTGGCCACACGTTGGTACAGAGCTCCAGAAATAATGTTGAATTCCAAGGTAAGGTTAGATTTACATTGAAAACAAAATAAGAATATTTTCTAAATGTGTGGCTGTAAACCTCCCTCTTCAGGATCTTCTTGAGGTTTGGACTGTCTTCTGGCAAGTCATGGTGCTGTCTTAATCCTGTTCTGTATTAAGCTTTTGGGCTCTGGGGTTCAATAATGCTGACATGATGAAGAGTTAGAAGGTTGCCTCTCCAGTCACAGCATAAATGATCCATGTCCCTCTCCTGAGGGCCTGCCTGTAGGAGCTTTCACACCTGCGGCTGTCTTTGTGTTAGAGGTAACCAGAAATTTTATTAATGTGAGCACAAATCACAGCTGTTGTGTAAGGATAAGCATCATCTAATAATGAGGAATAGGTCTGGCGAGATAGTTCATCAGACTAAGTGCCTGCTTGTAGGCAAGTGCAGGGTCAGAGCTTCTATCCCTGGTACCACATACTGCCCCCCCCCCCCCGACACACACACACACACCCCGCACACTGAACCAGTCACTTGAGTCTGGGCATGATGGCACACACCTGTAATCCCAGTGCTAGGGAGGCTGAAAAGGGGAAGGATCACTACAAATCTGAGCCGTGTACATGAGACCCTGTACCAGATACATAAAAAATAAGGATAATAATGAATATGATAATAATGAATATCTTTTCAGCAGAATTATAGTATAATTGGTTGTGCTTAAAGAAAACAGATATGCAAACAATAGGAACTGTGATGGATTCCTTCAAAATTATATACTAGTCCTATTTCCAGAGAGTACATCCAGTTTACATCCAAACTCTGCTAACGAAGTCTGTGTGTTGGTCAGAAGAGTGATTACATGCACTTTTAAAAGTCATAAAAAAGTAAAGTGATACTTTTGTTAGAATTATGAATCAATATGCAAAAATTTTGAGTGCTGCAATTGAGATTGAGATACAGTATTTTTAACATACTACTTCCAAATATGTGAATCATATGCCAAAATTGAGTTAAGGCAGACCTATTACCTGTTTCTGATATCTCAAAGTTATGAGGTTCTTCAGTACATTCTCACCCTAGATGGAAAGAGTTCTCTCCCAGTGTAGAAAGGGTAGCATGGTCCGTTGCTGTGCTTGACCTTTCCCTGAGGCATCACAGAATAATCTGGGTTTTGACCTCTCATATCTCTTAATGACATCTTCATATCTTGATGTGCTGCCTATATGTTACAACATATATTTCTTTTGCTGAATACTAATAAATTTGGGTTCAGGAGGGACTCTTCCTTCCTTCCCCCAAAAATGTTCTTAAATATAGCTCCATCTGTGTTTAAGATAAAGTAAGGAATGCTGGCATGAATGCACACACCTATCATCCCAGCATTCTACAGAAGTAAGAAACCAAGTTTAAGATTAGCCTAGACAACTTGGTGAAACCCTGTCTCAAAAAAACCCAAAAACTTTAAAGCAGAGCTAGAGATATAGCTCAGTGCAAAACCCTTAGATTCAATCCCTACTACTGCCAAAAAGAAAATTATAAACAAATATTGGATGTTGTATCTAGGACCCAATAACCAGAAATAGTCCTGAGAAACTAAGTGGAAATGAAAAGAATGGGTCTAATTAGTTCATAGGCTTTATATTCTTCCTCCATTCTTCATGAGTAGAGATAAGCTATTAGATTAGATTTTTTTTTTTTTTTTAGAAAATGGAAT